TAATTGAAAACTAATTTGAAGAGCGGTCATCTGAAAAGCCGACGAATATGGGGTCCTTTGATTTCTGCGACTTTCTTGGCTCAACTAATGCTCAAAAATTTGCGGACGAAAATCCACATTAAGTGTCAGAAGATGGGTTTTCACTCCTGACAGGTAGAAAGCATAAAAACTAAGCTGGTTGAACTGTCAGTATACTTCGACAGAGCAGGGTAACTTCAGACTATCCGTACCAAAGGCATGAGACACCGGTTTCTGTCATTCTTCTGGGCATTTTCGGACATTTTCCAGCTGGCGGTATATCGAGTTTCAGTTCCTCATTAGTCCAGCCACAGAATGAGGTTGAATAGTTAACATTTTAGGTGGCATTTTGGCTTCCATTTAGCGCTAGCTTGGTGAAGTAGAGTCCACAGCGAGAATACGGGCCTTACCCTGATCTAGAATTCTTCTAGCTTCCCAGTTGCGCTCGGCTGCCCGAGTGCAACGTTGTCACCCGGTTATTATTTTGCATATGAATTCAGAAAAGTTAGGGAACCCAACAACACATTTGGTGATATAGGATACCATTGATTAAAAAAACCGCCGGAAAAAACCATTCCCCCTTTGGATTGTACGATGAATGGGTTACCCGCCTACAGGGTAGATCATCTTCCAGAAAAGGCACAAGGTTGCAATATTCTGTAGTGACTTTTTTCATTTGAGTGTGTTGTTACCAAAAGCTGGAGACCTTCACCATGAGTGGCTTTCATGAATGGGCACCAGCTGACAAATACCTGTCTGACAGTCTGGAATCTGTAAGTTCGGAACTGTGAAGTCTCCTTAAAAACATAGGAACAGTTATCTTGACTGAAAAACCATATTGTTTCCGCCAAGTGCACTGTGGGGAGAAACCGAGGAACACTACTTTTCTTACCATGCCAAGATAGCGTTTACATGATCCTTTCCTGGACCAAAGGTGCAGATTCGCGAAGCCGAATTAGCATCTCAGCTGAAGAAACGTCTTGTAGTTCGCGAGTAATACGGGCATTTTAACCCAATCGTTTTTCCTTGGTTGGACTCCAGTCAATTGAATCAAACAGAGATTAGTATGGTCAAAACCTCCTTGCTTAGACAAGCAAGGTTCGCAGACAGTCCTACGCAGCACGCTAAAGCTGACTGTTTCAGTAGTGTGAGGTCGAAGAGATCGGAAGTATCATTCATTTCGACTTCAGAAGTAGCTTATCTTATCATTCACTTTGTTTCTAGGACTGAAAGTGGCATCGTAAATTGTAATTTTGACTAAGTAGTTTCAATGGTGTACCGGATTTAGTGCTCTGGAAGCTTGCCGGGAAAACGGCGGTATGAATATATGCAGACCAATAATCATAAGAGGAAATCTCGGTTACTCGAAATATGTACTACTATGGGATGTCGCTCAGCACTCCAAGGTGTATAGGTGACACAGAAGTAGAAATTATTGGCCGTACTTCCATGTCCAAATTTTGACCAGCCGTTATGTCATACAGTTTAGAATCGTTACCAGGGACCTCGGTCTTTCTACCTGGCATTCGTCACTCAACCTTTTGATTTTTTTTGCTTTTTTGCCCTCCATTCCCCCTTTTACATCAGATCATCAGACTTTACTGAGCCCGGTGGTGCAATTTGGACCCGGAAAATTGAAACTGGAGGCCCCAGCAATTATCACGCTACCACATTGCGCCAATATGACACAGGGTAACTGGCGCCTGCGCGTGTTAGTTTCAGAACTTCCTGAAATCCACTACAATGAACCTGGTGAACGGTGTTTATTGACGAGTGGTTGCGCAGATCTGATCGAGTCTGACTATAGCTCCATTCATGGGACAACCTTGGAGCGAAAACCGTGGAAGGTAAGCAGAAATCCTCCTTCCGTTAATAGGATGCAAAACAGGAAGCAATACTGCCATGTGTCGCAAATTCCAGTCATTGCTGAATAGTCCCAATTTTGCATCGAATTAACTCCCAGTATGGAGTTGCTATATGCCAAAAACTATGGCTGGTCTGTCGGCTCAAGTTGTTCCGGAACTTTTGGGTCAAAACGTCCGAGCATTTTTACCGCCAAAATCCAGTTAATGGGTTTCTGCTGCAATTGATGAATGATGCAGGTTTTCAAAGTGTTAATTCTGTTCGATCGCCAATGGCAACATTTTGGCAACTCATTCTCAGCTGGTTCTCGTTCACTGGCAGTCCGTAAGCCTACGATCACCATCATGTGCATGTGTTCAGGTCTTGCTACATATTCCCTTCTGAACTGTGCTGCGTAAACATCTCCGATGGGGGTGCGTTCCCCCAGCGATAATGACAGTTTCAGCCGTTTGACTGTAAGGGGCTCTGTACCACTGACTGGATGACGCCATGGATATTTCGGTTAATTACATTTCAGTCACTTTGTTGCAAACAAGAAATGAATTCAGTAAAGGTTTTCCATCTTCTTAAAAACCTCCAAGTATATCTTTAGAATCATATGATTATTATGCGTGTGCATTTCACCAAACTTCTCGAAACTTACATCGAGGAGACCATTTATGTTGCTGATTCTTCAGGAATTGCTCGTTCTTGAGGATGAGCATCATTACCAGCAGCGCTTCCAAACCGCGCATCCATGTCAGCTCGACGGGTCGACGTTTCAGTTGAAGACTAGTACTCCACTGCGCTATTGCATCATTGGTGAGACAGCTGGGTGCAAGACAACGATGAGCTTACTGAAATGTGAAACTCTACCTCAGAAAACGAGCAACACTGTTAGTTGGCCGGATGCCAGTTCAACCCATTTCTGTTTCACGGATGAAGCTGATGGTGTACGCAATTCACCATCCAAGTTTCTACAGATCGCTGCATTTTCTGGTCCTATCAAACCTACAACTATGGATTACAGTGCTCGTGTCTATGTGCTACCAGACACCGAGGACGCATTTCATCACGTTGCTTGCCTGGAACATCAGTCATCTGGGCATTTAGTGGATCATGTCAGACAGTTTCCTTTTGTGGACAATGGAACAGGTTTAACGTTTCAAATCACTGAGCTGAACGCAGGATGGCGGAGCCGTCTGCAAACGGAAAAGCAGGTGAGTTAACTAGTTTTAGCTAATATTTCTGCAACTTGGTTGACATACACACGACGATTGACATCTGTTGCGACTTGAGAGGTACTGTTGACTGCCAAAGCACACGGTAATTATTCTCCTTCACTTTAGATTTACGTTCAGTTCTAGATATAAGAAATAAGAATGGATATATGTTAAGGTTTGTTTTAATTTTTACCAACTTGGGTGCAAACAAACTGCAATCTTGCAGTTCAAACATTTTAGTGAGATGTAGCACAAAATGGAAAGATGTTTTCGTGTGTTTTAACCAAATTATGAATCATGTTCTGTTTTACTGCTCAGCACTCCATATTGCACAAGACGAATAAAAATCAGATAATGATGTAGCTCTATTAAACTGCGTGAAATGTGGTCCTCTTTGGCCGGACAAAGATGGAAGTGTTTGTCTGATATGTTGGAACCAGAGCTATATCCTCGATAATTGCAAACTTGGATAAAAAGAATCCTTCCACAATTTACATCCAGTCCAGCGAGCAAGCTGCCGACAGCTGGGTGTTGATAGCTTTAGTGTGTGATTCGAATTTTCCTCTCAAGACTGCTCCAGTCTGGCCATAGCGCTCTGAGCAACAACTCGAACGAAAACCGGCACAACCCAGCCTCTGGCTTACTTCGAGTCATTCTTATATATATATATATATATATATATATATATATATA